CAATTATGCTGAGTCAGGCTTGATTTTTAGTAATCTTTTCCTGTTAAATCAATAAATCAAATCAAATACTTGGTTTATTTACATAATAACTTTAATTGCTGGATGTTCGGCCCCTCAGCTGTTGACCAGCAGTAACTGTGGCCCCCTGGAGCAGTTTAGTTGAATAGTCCTGGCTTAAAGTGAAAACTGGCTAAACAACAGCAAAGAGCTGAATCTGTATCTAAAAGATAAAACAAACAAAACTAAAGGTAAATAAAAAAGGCAGATTTTTAAAAGAGAACAAAGACTTTTCAGGGATTTAAAGAGTTTGTGTAACATGTAAAAGTTCATATAGTATAACAGTTTAAAAAGTCTGAAGATAACCTTCTTAGCAAATTTATGTTCTGTAACATTTATGTAACATTTAGTGACGTGGTAAATAAGAATCATTAGTAACTAATACTGAGAGCAACATGGGCATTGACTCTGTCTGTTAGCAAAATAATCCCTGAAGCAGTGGACAAATTCTAATGAAAAGTTCAGGCAGTGTTTACTGAAAGAACAACCAATCATACTTCATGATGGTCATTACAGCCAATAGCCTTAGAGCCAGCCAATTACAGCCTTAGAAAACTCAAAAATGACCACACCTTAGTCCGTTTTAGGGATATTGAGCAAAGATTTGGTGTCTTGAAAGTTGAGAATCCATCAACTTTGGCACGATAGCAGGCAATTTCTTCATAGATTTCATTTAAACAAAACCTTTTTTTTCTAAAAAAGAAAAATTAATGAAGTACCGTTGCATTTTTATGGCTCACAAAACACATGAAGGGCTATGCAGAGGATTAGTGCTTATCATCTTCCCAAAAATAATCTTAACCGTGGCAGAGTTCAGTAAATACTTTGGCACCAGCACGTAATAAGATACAAAACAGACATCAAGTAAACACCTGGTTATGATGTTCAGTTTATAAAAGCTGTCAGAATCCAGAATCCCCAACACAACCCTCAGAGGAAGCTGAAGCACCAGTCAAAAAACACCAAACAATGAATTTCCCAACAACACAACTTGTTATGAAGGTTCTCACTGTTGTGTCGTATACAGTTCAAGTAAAAACTACTGGATGTTCAAAACACAGCCTTTGAAATCAGAAGAAATGATCAATAAAAACAYTAAAACACAACATGGGCTGGTTGGACAAAACGCAGCAAAGCAAAGACCTGGATGAGGAACAGATCAGTGATGATGGCTGTYAGGTGTCAATAAAAAAACGAGTTTTACCAAAGAGTCCGGTTCCAGTCTGGCCTTTCCTCATCAGGTACATGGCCCAGGACAGGGAGCCAGAGCTGCTGAACACCCCAGGGTTCATGGTTGACTCCTGGGTACCAAAACTAAACAAATACCTTCAAAATAACCAAAACAAGGACAAAAAACAAGAACTAAAAATGCTGTTAAAGAAGACAAAACTTGGAGACCAGTAGCTGAAAACACACAGATGAGCTTCAGCTTGTCTTCACCTTGATAACTTGCTTTTATACCCTCCCAGTCACCCCCCACTCCTGTCTCCCCCCCCGCCGCACATATTAGTTAAAACCCGTAAAGGGATGGAGTAGAAAGTAAGAGTGAGAGGAGGAGAAGCCAGTCAAGCTTGATTCATTCCCTCCTCCTCTAAAGCATCGCCACAGGGGACAGAACTCCACTCTGCCCTCGGGCTCTTCAAAAGCTGCTAATTTAATTTAGCTACTCAAATGATTTTTTCACCCTCGTTTCTCCCGCTCTTCCTCCCTTTTTCCTGTCACCGTCCTGTTTTACACTGTTTGGAAGTTCTGGGTAAGAAGAAAAGGCTAAACTAACGATGCATCATTTATAGATGTGGTCAGAAGTTTACATGCACTCTTTATGCACTAAAATATACATTTATTTGAACTTTTTTTTTCAAGAATGGATGACTGTTATTAATCAACCCGTTCTCACTCCCGAGTCGTCACATTTTGACGCTTTTCTAAAGTTCCATCTGCGTCCGATTTTGACGCGTCAGGTACTCCCCTTGCGTCATTTTTTGACGAGATGGGGCGAATCTGTTGTCACAATTTCTGAAAGTAGAGCTGGGCGATATGATCAAAATTTTATATCACGGTATTTTCAACATTTTCACCGGTTTCACGGTATTTGATGGTATTTTTCTTTTCATCACAGCTCAGCTGATAATAAAATGTACAAACCCTGCTTATTGACTTTTTTTCTTTTACTNCACACACACCTTTGCGAGTGGCAAACACATTTTTACACCCCGCTGTTCATATAGACAATTTTCTCACTCATTCTCCATTTAATGTATAATTTTTCTGYATCTAAAAATAATTTCTGAGGAGAATCTCTCACGCTGGACACATTTACATCTATTTTACATATTTAAATGGTGGCGTGTCAGGGGAGGTTTCTCACGTGCGCTCTGTTCCACGTTCATTGGGATGTATAAAGGAAAGGTGAGCAGGAACCTGCGTGCGCACAGTTTTATACATCTGAACTTTTYGGTGCGGCGCACTTTTCTAAATTTGTCCGCACGTCAACTTTTAGTGTGAAAGCTGCGCAATCCTTTATGCATGAGGCCCCTGGTCCTTTGAAGTGGGCCTGACTACCAGCTTTTGCACAGTGGTCAGTTCTCTCATTACCATTAATGTATACCAGTATAATGTAATGTAATGTAATGCCAATATGTCCTGGTACCTTTTTAACAGTAACACTGTTATCTCTTCGCAGGTGGTTGACTGCTTCGGCACACTCCCAAGCCAGTAATAATTTAGTTATGTAAATTGTGGCCCTTGAAGAGCTCTAATAGCAGCTTGGCTATCTGTTAGGTTGAATATTTCATTCTGTGTGCACTGAAGGACTTTGAGAAATGCCACACACTTGTGGATTGAAGTAAAAATGCAGACTACTAAAATCAATTCAAAATACAAACAAACAACAAAAATCAATGAACTCTGTTAAATCTCTTCTTACCTGGACATTCAACTGTTTTGATCCAATTGTTGTCGACACAAGTTGCACTGCCTCCATGCATTGTACCAGGTGCATTACATATATATTCAATGACTTCCCTGTCATCGTATCTTTCTTTAAYCATGGTTGATTTAACAGTCAGTTTCACATCTTGGAGCTTCTCACARTAATCTGAAACTATGACAACAAAGCAGTGGTGTTAATCCCACCTTCTAACATGCCACATCAGAAACACAATGATTAATTTRTATAAATTCTGGCACAGTGTTCCTTACTGGAACAGGCACCGTTTTCAGTCCAGGTTCCCTGCTCACAGGTAGCAGTGTAAGATTTTTGAACCAGGCATCTGTACGTGACTTTATCACCGTCTGTGTAAGACAGTTGTTCACCTCTGACAATTTCAGCATTTTGAAAGTTAGGTATTTCACATGATGATGCTATGGGTAAAGAAAAAAGAAGAAAATWTTTTTAGTTTTGAGTTATGTCAGTTATAAAACCTTTTCAGTCAAGTGACTTGATCATACWCAAACACATTTACTCAATACTGTGGGTGATTTTATTGGCATGTTAAAAAACATACTGATGTTTTTTGTTTTATTTAACGGGAGTGTGACCTAAAAAGTGATGCTGTAAATAACATCTGTTGGCATTTTGAGCCTATAGGTTTCCATTTTCCTTTAGTACAGACCAGTTTAAAATAGCCAGTGWAGCCAACAATGCAGGGCAGTCTCACTTGTTTTCCACCCAAGTACTGTATGTTGCAGCCATACCAGTGGTGTTAAAATGTGTATCATCACAAACTTTCGCACCCCACAGCACATATGTGCATCAGTTTGTTGAAAATTTTCTTAAAWAACTAGCAAYAACATCATWTCTAAGACTTACCTTGACATTTCACAAAGGTCAGTGTTTGCGCCCACAAAAGTAGGACCCAGATCTTAGTGACCATGTTCAATTTTATCCTCATASTCTGAACCACCAAACAGAGCAAGATCCTGCAGAGCACTACACTGTTATACAGAGAAGGACCTTTGAATTTAACTGGAGAGGAGGAGGGAAAAAGAGTGATTGCTCAGTGATTACACAAGTGTGTTCAGCCTCACAACTATGGCTTACAAGCTAACAAAAAGAGAACAACCTACCTGTAAAAACATGGCGTGCTAATTATAAAAACAAAATGTAGAAAAAAGTCACTAACATCATTTCCTACATTTTGTTAATTTTTTTTTTACTAAAAAGTAAATTTATATGTTAAAACAATTAAATGTAAAATCCTAAATGTTGAAGTTAAATGTTAAAGTTTACGTTTAAGTATTTCTGAATGGAATGCAGCCTTTGCCGCTGGCACTCAGATCTTCTTAGAACATCATCATTCTGAGACAATAGAAACCGCTGATGCTCCAATGCAGCTAACCAGGATGATGTCATCACCCTGTGACGAACATCAACGGCAGCCGCTGTGGCTGCATGATCCGTCTCGACAGCACGATCCGTTCTGTCAGCTCATTTGGGCATGCGATAAATCAGAGCTCTTGGCATAGGCGAACTAGGCGGTCGCCTAGAGTGTCATCTGCTGGAGGTGGCACTGAACTGCAGAAGAAAAAAAGGAATTATTTGTAATCCCTGGTTGTAACTCTGCTCAGCGCCTCTTTCAGG